AAGAGTAAATACTAAGTTTCTCAAGTCTTTCATTTTAAATCTAGTTCAAGCCATTTCACGTAAGTGGCACTGCTGCCAAGATTTATTCAAACAAACTGAGTTCTAAGATCAATGATCAGATTCAAATTGTGACAGTGACTGACTTTCTTTCAAAACAATTCACTGTATGCAGGCATAATTTCATTCCTTCCATTCTGTTAAATAATCACCTTGCTGAAGAAGCCTCAAATAAAACTGCAGATAAGAATTAATTTATATGAAATATTATAACAAATAATACTGGGTATTATAAATTAGATCTTGAAATTATCACTAGTTTCTAGGCATACAAGAGAATTTATAACAAAAAAAAAAACTGTGGTCTGTAGTCCACAAGCAAACTATAATGACTGAGGTACTGCCGCTTGTCGGCAAAGTTAGTGCCAACTTTTGCAGATAGAGGGTGTCACACAGTCAGCACAAAGGAACCCCATGGCCGTTAATCTCGGTTTTCTAGACCAGAGCCGCTATTTCCTTGAAACAGTTCCTCAATCATCCTCACAAGGCTAAGTGGACCCCGTTCCAGACCTACTACTTCTCAGAAAATTTGGCAGCACTGGGAATCGAACCCAGAATCTCTGGATCTGTAGCCAGGAACCCTGAACACTAGACCACAGAGGCGGTCAGAGAATTTATAATACTATATTTAAACATCCTGTTCCACTGTTATTTTCTAAGTATTTATTTTTGGTCTTCACATTGGATGTCCNATTTATTAGTCCACCATATATCCATAAGGATTACAATTCCAGCGGATGCAGTTACCGTCATTAAGTATATGCAAATAGATGTGCAATAGTGCACTCGTCAACAACATACATAACAAATTGTATAACATGCGAATAAAACAAATAAAAAAATATACAGACAATCCGGAAAAGTTATAAAAGAAACAAGTACAATTCAGTATTTATGCTTAGAAGTAAAAATACAGTGATAATTAATACACTCTGCAAAGACACATGATCAACTGTGCAATAGGGCACTTGTCCAAATGTATTAAAAAAAAAGAGATATACAGATTGTTTTTATGCTAGAAACAAATTACAACAATATACTCCATGGGGCACTTGTCCAACAGAGACAGGTACAGGTAAACATACCAAAAAGTTAAAAGAACTAAAAAGGATATGTAAATTTCAACATCTATGTTTCAAGAGTTTGATAATTAAAAACTCTTTCAGTGAGAAGCAAGAACCAGCATACAAGAATCTCTTTAAAGCTGCCTCAAAAGATTTTTGATCATTAGATAATTATTTGAGTTTTGCAGGTAAGTGATTAAAGATCTTTATGCCTGAGTAATAAGCTCCCCTTTGAACTTTAGTCATAGAAACACTTGGAGGAAATAAATTGTTGTTTTGTCTAGTACTGATACTATGAATTTCAGAATTCCTTAAGAACATGTGTCTATTACTTACAATGTATTGCATCAGGGAATACACGTATTGAGAACACAATAGTAAAATTTTCATTTCCCGGAATGAATCCCTGCACGAATCTCTCTTCTTCAAGCCCTTCATTATTCTTATTACCCTTTTTTGTATCCTAAAAATTTTTATACTATATGGAGAATTACCCCCCAAAATAATACCATAAGTCATGATGGAGTGTATGTAAGCAAAGTAAAGCATCCTCAGACTGCTGTAGGACAAGATGGGTTTAACTGCCCTCATTATAAAGGATGCTGAACTTAGTTTAGCAATGAGATAATATGATTTTTTCAAGTTAATTTGTTGTCGATATATAAACCCCAAAATTTAATGCAGTTAGAACTGACTACTTGTTTATGCCTGAAACTAATGTAGTTGTCTACTTCATCATGGTTCATTGTTGTAAACTGCAAATGGTAAATTTTTTTAAGTTCAGAGTTAACAAGTTACATTTAAACCATTTATTGACCTCATGGAGTATTTTATTCATAATTGAGTTATGGCTGTTGGGTTCAGGATTAGTTACAATTATGCTTGTATCATCGGCATATAAAAAGATGTTAGCTCCTCTAATGGAAACTTTAGTTATATCATTTATGTACAGAAGAAAAAAAAAGCGGTCCAAGGATAGAACCTTGCGGCACACCAAATGTTACCTCTGCCCACCTGGACAAAGCGCAATTAACAGAATCAATAGTGTCTAGGTTCACTCTTTGATATCTTCCAGTAAGACAGGACTTAATTAAAGCACCAAATTTCCCAGTAATTCCATAAAACCCTGCCTTTTTTTTATTAGTATATCATGACTAACGCAGTCAAATGCTTTTTGTAAGTCACAAAATATTCCACCAATTGAATGTCTATTATTCATGAATTTTAAAATTTCATCTATTAATTTAAAGGATGCTTTTTCTGTAGATGAATTGGGCCGAAAATCAACTGATTATCATCTAATATGTTCTTGTGGCTTATATGATCATACAATCTATTGTATATCAGCCTCTCAAATATTTTAGAAAATGATGATAATAAGGATATAGGCCTAAAGTTAGTTGGTTCATATTTATCACCAGCTTCAAAAATTGGCTTGATCACAGCATACTTCAATCTATCAGGAAAGATTCCCTGAGCCAAGGATTCTGTGGGAACATCCCACATTATCACGCATTTTCTGCAACGCACACTCTTCACATCACTTTTCACCATCACGCGCGCTAACCAATCAAATTGCTCCAAACATTCGCATTTATACAGCTCTCGCCGCTAGCACCCATCGACACCATTACGCGTGCTAGCCAATCAGCGCTCTGCAAATTCTTCCTCCTCAATTTCAAGTTTCGCTCCGCCCACCGAGCAGTGTATAAAAAGGAGCAGCCGCAATCCGGCAGCATGAGTCTGTCTTCAGTCTTCGATCAAGCTACGTCAGCCAGCACACTTCGCCACCAGCGCTCGGTCTTCGGAGGCATCGGAAGGCTGCGCCAGGCACGACTGCCACAGCCTTCCTGCTTTCACACCTGACTCATTGGGGCACCTCGCCTGGACTTGCCAGTGGTCGTGTCCAATTCCGACTCACTGGGCATCTGGTGTAGCCACTGCCCCGCCATTCCAGCGACTGCGCTGTGTAAGCAACATTTTCCAGCAACCAAGCAACCTCCAGCAACGGCCGCGCTGTGGCCAGTCAACTCACCGCAACTAACCTCTCTCCCTACCGGCGCGCACCGCGCTACCTTACTGGTCAACATCTCAGCAACCACGGTCCTTTTCAGGACCAACAAACTGTTCCGAAGAAGTGGGTTGTCATTGGAGTAATGACGAACAACAAAGACATAAAACCCCCACAATTCATTACAAATATAGGTGAGTGGTGAAATAATATATGGCATACTTGTTTTTAATATTTTTATAGAGATTTCATCATATCCGCAAGATTTAGTCTTTAAAGATTTAATTATTTTCCTAATCTCAGCAGTTAAGGTGTAATGCCATCTGATATTTTCAAAAGAAGAGTTGTAATTACAATCCAAATGGGTCAATGTTACTCCAAGGTTCATTATTATCCTTATTTGAATCTTGTATAATTATTATCCATTTTAAACATTTTAACTAATTTGTTACTTTAACCTTCAAGCAATTTTAATTGGTTTTTCCCTTCAAAGGGTGTTAAGAAAGTGAAACAACTTACAAGAAAAGATAAGAGCTAAGGATGGTCATGTAATACTAAAACACAAATAACGAAAGATGTGAATGAGCTATGATAGTGTGCTAATAACCATGAAGAGACTGAAATGTACACAAAACTTGCATGACTAAGAGTGAAAACAAATACTAATGAATTTATGTGTCATGCTAACCCTGCTTATGATAGTGAATAATGGGCAATAAGGTGAACAGATGAGATGAGATTAATATCAACAGATACATGTTTCATGAGGACAGAAGGTTACACCCTTTCAGATCATAAAAGAAACAAAGAAACAGAAGGAACTACAAATTCCAGAAATAACCATACACCTCTAAACACCAATCAGAAGTAAAAATAAATGTGGGAAGACCCCTGAAATGATGTAAGGATTGTTGTTTATAATACTCATAACAGGTCTCAATAGACCCTGTTCCCTGCTAGNGGGAATAGTTTATAGGTGGTGAGGTGAACAACTCAATTTAGCCATTAATTTAAACACTCATAAAAACTGAAAGTAGTTTTCTATTCTTATTAATGTATTCAATCAAATTATCCATATACCTAGTTGTTTTACATCATCAACTGCTTTCAACCTGAAGTAATGGGGTGGCAACTGTGAGCCAGGTTGTAAAATGTAACGAGATTCACTGTCATTTATTAGTTGTGGCTCATATACAATACGTGGAATAACATCTATTCTTCGATCAACCTCTCTCTTCAATGACTGTAAAAAGAAATGCAATCATACACTCATTACAATTACATCCACCTTAAGTTTACAATGATTTGTACAACACTCTGTTTAACCACTCAATGTTGTCAACTGTACTCATTACATTTGTAACACTGCATCATTTGCATGACTAATTATTAAGATTCTGTGTAAATGTTTGGTGTGGTTTGGAGATGAAAATCTGAACTTTCTATTCCACATTTCGTAGTTTACTAACTGTGAAAAGAAAAGTTAAAATAGCCGAACAAAACAAACTCAAATGACTAAAAACACAAGTGATAAAAATTCTCTCTTCTGGGTCTTCACAGCTTGTCTCATATGTAACTTTGCTTCTGAAGTTTAGCTCTTGTTGTTTGTTGAAGCTTTTCCAATGTTTGACCTACATTATAGTAGTCATTTATCATTGATTGCACCACAAGCAAAACCTCGCCTTTAAACTCCCACTGCAGAACTTGTATATCTGCCCACTTGCATCTCCTGTCTCATTTGCCTTAAATGTGGTCACTGCAATGTGTGCTACAATGTTGGAACAGCTTCAACATATCACACAGCTAAACCTCAAAAGATGAAGTTACACAAATGATAAATGTCAAGCATGACACCTCATAAATTCAGCTCTTTCTAACTTTGAAAGCCTGTTCTTCAGTGATGACTAGCATTCACTGTTCTAAGATATGTACAATCACCAGCTGGTTTTATGTCACCCTTGTCCCATCTGACCTAAATTCCCACAAAATCTAATATATACTCCTCTAATTCTCTTGCTACTGTTTTCACTGAATCTGTCTACAGACTACTGCCATCTCAAGTTCCAAATTGAATGTCCATTTTACACTCTTTAGCTTGTTCTAAAAACATGAGGTCCTGTATAACATGCAAACTCATTACAGTGAAGGGCTGTCAACAGCATTTTCCAAACCCCAAGCTGACGCTTTACTTCTTGTCAGCTGTCTAAAACCCTTCATTAAATACATTCAGAGCTCCCTTCCATATCTGGAGGCACCCATCCATCCACAACCACAGAATGACCAAATTGTGGTAACAAGTTATTCACTTAACATGGAGTTGTACATGTATTGTATGATTTACTGATTGTCTGACTTTTATGGGTAGTATCCACTTTTAAGTAATATGGATAAAAACTGGTAAACTGAAAGGTCACAATATAACACTTCAACAGCACCACTGTTGTGGGACAACTGGTAGCTGTGAAGAGTAATAGATCCCGCATATTAACTGAACATGAGAAATAAGACTGCTGTGTTTACAATAAGATGAAGTGCCATGTACTTTACTCACTTTCTTTGTTCCATGTCCTATTGGAACGTGTGGTCCACGCCTTGATCGTAGAGCAAATCTCATTATTTGTCTCTTGGCAAAAAGAAAAAACAAAATGAAAGTAAGCACACCACATGCTATGATAATGACAACTGTCACACCAGACAACTGTTCTGTCATAACTGTACCAAATTAACTGCACCTTTCAAATCTTGGGACAGTAGTTATAGTTGCGGCGGAGTTAAAAGGTGTAGAAACCTAACAAACCACAGACAAAAGGTCACCGCATCAACTAGCACGAGCCTCCATTCTAACCTTAAATTGTACTTTGTTCCGCTGTTACCGTGATAATGCCCTGCACATCACAATTCATTTATAATATATTATTATTAAACTCTGTTTTTACATACTTGTCCCTCCTTTCGTTTTAAAAACAGTACACTAAACACACGATATCCAACCTATCGCTACCTTAAATTAGCACAAAATTACGGTAACACTTCGACCACTGGTAACCTAATTCAGCCTAATTCGACCCATGGACAAGTTTCATCCAATGTTAACTCGCGCAATTGCACACAGAATGATTACATCTATGACCAACATTCTGTATGAATAACTGAATGAATGTATGAGGGGTAAGCCTTCACGGCCCTTACACCGCGACCTACATGGGTCTAGTGAGCTTTACATTCTGAACCTTTGAACTTCTGCACATTCTGAAATTCTGAAAGTTCTATAACGTTCTATAATAATACGCCGTCAAAAATGTGAACTTTACTGCTGTCTACTTTGGGACCAAATTTCAATATATGACTACGGCAGTTCTGTTGGTAAGAAAGTTATCCAATGTTTACAGTAGTTCAAGAAATCTCCTCCAGAATAGTATTCGATGACCAGGGGGTGGCAACTCAATGCTATTGGCGGGCAACACAGCCAGCG